GCCTTTGACAGGAGAGAAGGCAACGAAACAAGCTGTTATCCAGAGACTAAATGAAGGAGTAGCTGTCGTTCATATCGCTGCACACGGCAGTCTCAAACGAAATAGACGATACCCTTTTCTTTTTTAACACATAATCTTTTAAGCGCGATCCGCTAGTCAATTTAATTCAGCATAAAAATAACGTTTGGTCATAGACCCCTTGCATCGATTTCCTAGTGGAAATGCTCTGAGGGACAAAACAATAGGCCGTCTTTTTTTATGAAAAAAAAAAAAAAAAAAAAAAAAAACCATTGTTTTGTCCTCCATAACAATTTCTCTCGGGACTCAGTGCAAGGGGTCTATTGTCGCCAGTCTATCAGACTGTTTAACTACGTACGTATTGATTCCTAAATTAAAGATATCCTATTTACCGGCCAGGAGGTCCGGATAGAGAAAAAGTGTGCCAGAGGTCTTCAATATACGGACCGAGGGCACAGTTTTCCCCTATCCGCACCGACTATAGGACGGTAAATAACTTRTTTATTATTTCCCGTATTTTTTTTTATTTGTTTTTGTAATCGTTTYGTTTTGTTGTTGAGCGGCAAAGGATACCGGACCGCGAGCGCGGGCAGATACTGACAAAATACCGCCCGCTCAAACAGCCAATCAGAACGCACGACTTTTTAGGATACCGGACCGGAAAAAGAAAAAAAAAAATTATATAGCGCCCTTTCCTAAAATGTCCAAAAGCGCTTTACAAACAAATAATAATTAATAATAATAATTAATAATAACAATATATGTAATATCAAAATCAAAAAACTATGTAATCTAAAAGTCAATAAGATTTAACGAATGATCAATGAAAAGCTTTGCGAAATAAATATGTTTTGAGATAACTCTTGAAAATATTTAAAGATGTACTACATTTAATTTGCAGTGGCAAGGCATTCCAAAGCATTGGAGCAGAAATAGAAAAAGCGCGGTATTCATAAGACTTTAGATTATAATTTGAAACCCTGAGTAACCAGATCTCAAACAGCGTTGAGGAGCATAAGGCTCAAGTAAATCGCAGAGATACTTTGGCGCAATACCATGGATAACGTTATACGTAAAAAGAAAAATTTTAAATTCGATACTCTGCTCAATCGGCAACCAATGCAGCTGTACTAAAATGGGTGTGATATGCTGAGATTTGCGTGATAAGGTAACCAGCCTGGCAGCAGTAAAGTAAGGCATTACAATAAGCCTTTTCATAGTTTAAGAATCGATTCCACTGCGCATGCGATTTAATCCCGAATTTCTCACCTTCTTTTGTTTAATTTTACTGCCCCGGAAAATTTCGGTATATTTAACAATGCCTCCTATGACCACACTTATTAACAAATTGGTATAAACCTTGATACGATGTCTCCAAGATGCACGACTTAAATCATAAGGAAATGATGTTCTATACAAGATGTTTGTTTATATGCCTCAGAAAATGTTGGTATATTTAATGCCTCCTATGACATCACACTTCTTCAGTCGTTTCATCTAAGGCTCGTAGCTATTACGCATGTTCATATTTAAATGTTTAACCATTCTCAACTTTCACATCCCCATAATGCCTTGCGTTTTTGGGGGGTAACCAATAAAAAAACTGTCCCAAATTGAAAGGTTTCTTAATTGAATTTATACTATTCCTGCTTTTATCTGTACGATACTGATTATCAGTTTATTCCAAGTTATTTTTGCGTGTACAGATCATGAAGAGTTTTGGTCTTACAGAAAATGTATTGACTTACGAAAAAATGTTTAAAATTAACCTTAAACTTCTTCAAGCTTCTATCTTTTTCTGTTTTTTTTACTTCTTCATTTTATCTTTGGATACCAAACAAGGTATTTTCAACATTGTCTATTCAGCCTTCAGCAAAATAAGTGGGTTTTTACCCTCTGGTTACCCCCCAAAGACGCAAAGGATTATGGGGATGTGAAAGTCGAGAATTCGACCATTCACTTCATGTAGAATCAATACATTAGAGGTGAGGGGCACTTTAAATAGTAAGACAACAGTTTACAGTTTTAATAGCTTTACTAACGGTGTATCGTTTTATTTCCTGAAAAAAGGTAACTAAACATTATAACACATAAAACTGGTCGCCGTATTTCGAATTTGTGTATGGGTATGTTCATGTTTCTTGTCGACTACCTTAATCTAGAAATGTCTTTTTACAGTATGTACCGACTTCTTCGGTTTGAGTATGTACGCTTGTACTTGTATGGATGCGTTCATGTCTCTTTAAATGAGCATATCGTGTAAATGCCTTGTTGCAGTATGCACACTTGTATGGTTTGACAGCTGTATGGGTGCGTTCGTGTTTCTTCCGACTACCTTTGAGTGTAAATGCCTTGTTACAGTATGTACACTCGTACAGTTTGACACCTGTATGGGTGCGTTCATGTCTATTTAGAACTCCCTGTTGTGTAAATGCCTTGTCACAGTATGTACATTCGTATGGTTGGACTCCTGTATGGATTCGTATATGTTGTTTTAAATGATCATGTCGTGTAAATGTTGTGTCACAGTATGTACACTTGTATGGTTTGACTCCTGTATGAATGCGTTCATGCCTCTTAAAATCATCTCGTTGTCTGAATGCCTTGTCACAGTATGTACACTCATACGGCTTGACACCTGTATGGATACGTTCATGTTTCTTAAGATAATCTTTTTGCGCAAAGGCCTTGTCACAGTATTTACACTGGTAGGGTTTGACACCTGTATGGGTGCGTTCATGTCTCTTCAGAATTCCCTGTTCTGTAAATGTCTTGTTACAGTATGTRCACTTGTGTGGTTTGACACCTGTATGAATGAGGTCATGTTTTACGAAATAATCTTGCTTTTCCAATTCCTTGCAGTGTGTATACGTGTATGCTTGTCCTCCTGATATGTCAGCAACATGCTCTTGTGACAACCGTTGTGTGCTGGGTAGGGACTCCTCATCTTTGTCATCCAAGTTACAACTATCTTTCGATGAATTTTTGTTTYCTAAAAATTGCATGATTGATAACGAGAACAGGTAAGAGGTGTGCTAATTAACATTACAGTTTCTCTGATAAAGGAAGAAAATCACACCTGTAGGGTAGGGGACTGGTACTCTCCATCAAGGGCAGATCCAGGGGGGGCAAAGGGGGGCTGTAGCCCTCCCTTCAGCAGAAAAAAACGATGCTTTTTTATATTGTTTTTCGTTGTGTTGACAAAAGAAACTCAATTAGCCCCCCCTAAACTCAATTAGCCCCCCCCCAAAAAAAATTTTGACTGGATCTGCCCTTGTCCCTCCGCACTATAATAAACACGGCTACAAGATACCATTCATTTTCTAAGGGTAATTTATCCTGTTTATATAGGGGGCCACGTAAAAAAAATTCAGGTCRAGAAGGGGTCATGCATTTTACATCTTACACAGAATCCATTACAATGATGGATGAGTGAATCGGATGTTTGGATTTCATGAATTGATGAATTCATGGATGATAGGATCAACGTATAGAGCGTTTTCACGTGACGTCACAGCGGCCATTGTGGGGTACCAAAACAATACATTTTCTATCCTCCAGGAACTGAACTCTATTTTTATGCAAATACTGAGCAGAAAGTTTCTATTGTTTATGCCTGCCTTCTCACGTGAGTGAAAACGCTCTATAGATGAATTTTTTGATTGCATGTTACATCATCGCAGCCYCTAGGGGGAGCATTGGTGCCATTTCTTATTAGCATCCATTGTTAATGGCACCACAATGGCTGCCTTGCTTTTAACTCTCTTTTGGTGAATGCTTGCAGCCCATGGATGAGAATTGAGAGGAAGTGATTTTTACGAAGCAAAACAAATGACTAGATTTCAAAAAGRATGACACACCTTGTTTATCATGTTTCTCTGTGCTTTGTGTAGTCTGTCCATTAGCACAGTCACARACATCAGTCTGTAAATACTGGATCTCTTGGGACAATGACATCTTACAATCATTGTTGTATTCCTAAAGAGTGAAACAAAATATGAAACTGTACTGGGTCCGTAACCATCAAAATGGCTTTCCATCATGTCAACTATCACATGCCACAATTAAGTTTATAAATAATTATACAGCTTCTCATTAATCACATATAGGTAACTGTCCAATTATTTTCTTAATTGGACAGGTCTTGTTGATATGGGATTAATTAGGCAGCTATATAATTAATAGGTAATGGGATTTCAAGAAATGATTAGACTCGAAAAATTCCTCTGACTGCCAAATTGGACTCAGCCTTGCATAATAATTATGCAAAGAGGTTTATATATGTAATAGGACTCCATGCATTCCAATTAAGAAATAATAAGACGAGAAAAATTCCAAGGACTTTCCAAAATTGGATGAGGCTGTAAAAAGCTTATTAAAAGCTTATTAACTTATTAGTCAGCTAAGCATGTGATAAGACTGCGCATTTATAATAGCCGACTTATAAACTAAATTTCAATGTTAGATTTAGAAGACAAAATTAAAAATGTATCTAGGCTTACATTATTAACACCTGTCCATCTGTGTTCTCCTGTTTTCTTGTTGTAATAGAAAAGAATCTGTCCTGACTTACATTCATATCCAAACCAATCTGGATCTATTTCATCTGGTTTTGTCAACATGGAAATCTGTTGAGCAACAATATTTTTGTTACAAAATGATTTGCAATTGATGATGTATCTACTGTAGTTGAGCATTAGTAATGCRATATGGGAAAATACTAATAATAGGCTGGTTTGTCCACTTCTATACACCATCATTAACCATGTAATCATCGATATCACCATCAACCAGTCTACAAATATATAATGAATATGTATTTATACTTAACAAACTTAGGAAAATACAATAGAAATCATGACAGTGAAGATTATAATTCTGATACAAAAATGGTAGTCTCCTCTTTTACTCCGACGAAGGACTAGCGTCCGAAAAGTCAGTAAGTTTTTTCATCTTTTCACCRTGTAAAATTTACCCTTTTATCATTACTGTTTCATTAGAAACRMCGATGCAGCTCACACTAGTTTTTWGCTAGTCATCTCTTCCTATAATTCTGATACAGAATCATGTTCATTTGCATAAACTTTAACTTGGATTTTCTTGGGCAGATTCACTTTTATCTTGAAAATTTTAGTGAAACACRAAGGAACTAGSCTAGACTAACCTATTGTTTTGTCCCCCAAATTGAGCTGCATTCCAAAGTGCYGCAAGGGGTCTATAAACATCCTATTGCATTATTGGATGTTATTTCATTTTTTATTTATTTTTGTTAAGGGGTAGAGTATCACCATTACACCATTTGTATGAATGGACTTGTTATCCCTAAGGTATAGGAATGCTTGACTCGCCTATTCCCTAAAGCACCCCCTTGCCCTCTAATCACCTAGCAACCATGCTCGTAATGTACAGTACTTTATTTAACTTACWTGATCACCACCTGTCCATTTGTGTTCTCCTGTTGTCTTGTCATAGTAGAACAGAATCTCTCCTGACTTACATTCATAACCACACCAATYTGGATCTACTTTTTCTCCCTTTGACATGCTTTACTATTAACAAATTTGACAATAAAAAGAGATCTTGTTACTCAGGTCTCTACTAAAAAAATACATTGGAACCTCGAAAATGTATTCAAATAAGCCATTACATCACGAAACATCAATAATGAATTACCAAACGTACTAGTTGACCATAAACGATCTGATATTGGGTGGAAATTCAATGAAATAATTTAAATCAACGCTTCACAGATCTTCACAAAAGATGGTTGAATGAGTAATGCTTGAAATACAGAGAGAGACTGGAAGCAACACAGGGATCCCACACAGCATAGAATGTCAAAGAGTGTTTTGTCTGCCAAATTTTTCTTTGTTTATTTTKACAGCGTTTTAAATTCTATATGAAATAGCTTCATTAGAAGTTCTCTAATTCCTTTTCGCTAAAATAGTCGGTCACTTTAGATTTATACAGAGGACGTCTGTGAAAATCGATRTCTATTCGTAAACTTCTTAAAAGCCGAACGAATGACGAATGAAAACCGATATTTTTAATAACATCTTTATTTTGAATCAGCGTTTTAAATTCTGAGTGAAATAGCTTCCTAAGAAGTTCTCTAATTCCTTTTCGCTAAAATAGTCGGTCACTTTAGACAGAGGACGTCTGCAAAGTCGATATCTATTCGTGAACTTCTTGAAATCCGAACGAATGACGAATGAAAACCGATATTTTAAAAAGAAGGTGTGTATGGAACGCCTGCTTCATATGAATGACTTCATATGATTTCCGCTGCACGTTTTTGATAAAATGGTTGAAAAATTACCTTTAAAATTAGCGGCTCAAGCAACAGGATGGACTTACTTTGTTGTTTGGACTATATCTTTCTACCCGCAAGTTTATTTGAACTGGAAAAGGAAAAGCGTCGTTGGTTTTTCATTCGATTATCTGGCTATCAACATAGTTGGTTTTCTGTCATATTCTATCTACACTTTAGTCACGTATACTAACTCTGAAATGCAGAGATATTTTCGCAAGGAAAACCACTCTAAATCACGAGATGATCCGGTCAAACTAACCGATGTCGTTTTCGCAACTCATGGACTCGCAATATGCTTCTTTCAACTTGGTCAAGTATGTGTTTACGAGCGTGGAACACAAAAGCTAAAGAAGTGGATTGCCTGTGTCTGTGGCTTTGCTTTAACTGGAATATTTGTATTGACTATGGTAGCTTCCTTTTCTCACAACTCTTTGAAAATGTGGGCTTTGGTTCTCACGTACTGTGGCTATATTAAGTCTATATCTTCGTTTTCCAAGGTAAGGTAACATGCTTCTCTTGAATAGTACCTCTGACAGTTCCCTGCGCCATTGAAAGGTAGCCATGCCTTTGCATAGAAGCGAGATGAAGGGTGAGTTTGCAATGATAGATACATGCATGTGAATAATTGTCCAAGGTGTTAAATAAGGTCTCTATCATTGCAAGCGCATTGTTCAAAGGGATTCTGGTAGTGGTAGAAAATGATGCTATAATGCAAGAGCAACAAGTTCACAGACCCTGTTTGACTCCAAGCTAAGTCCCTCTATTTCCCTTGGTCACTGTCCGTCTGTGACCAATCTTCCTCGACCAATCACCACAGACAGACAGACAGACGGACAGCAACCAAGACTTAGCTCGCAGTCTAAGACTGTGTATTTTCACTCTGTAAGGGACCGATCATTTATTACTTCCTTAAAACCAGTTAGAATTGGGGAGTAGATTTTTGTAATGGCCGAATTTGGGGGGAGGGGTACATATTTAGTAGTGTTGAAGTGGGAGGGGTACGTTTTCCATTTAATGATTTCAGAGGGGGGTACAAATTTCCTTCATTTTTTTTTTAAAGGAACCACCACCCCCCTGGGATGTAATAAACGATCGGTCCCTAATGGCACTCGAAAAATTAATGGTTGTAATATATGAGAAATTGAGTGCGTTGTATAATAATGACGCTTTACTCCAAGACTATCCAACATCTTTCTGCCTTGTAACAGACAGTGGTAATATTTGAGTATGAGTACACATTAGATATTATATATTCTGACCTTTGTAATGAGGTTGTATGGGGAAGGGGGGTATTTTGGGCCTTGAAATGTAAAATAAATGAGAGAAGAAAAAAACAGTTTTTGCTATTTCAGGTGGTTCCTCAAATTTACCTTCATTTTAAAAGGAAATCCACAGAAGGTTGGAGCATTGCTGCTATCTGGATGGACTTTAGTGGTGGCATCCTTAGTGTTGTCCAAATGCTTATCTACTGTGTTATTGATGGAGATAATACTCAACTCACAGGCAATATTCCAAAATTATGCTTGTCTGTTCAGTCTCTTATTACTGATACAATATTTATCTTTCAACATTACATACTATATCCATCAAAGCCAATTAGCCGGGTTAAACAACAAGCTCAGCAAGATGAATCCATTAAAAGTCTAATTAATAGTGATACTGAAACTATAGGATAATTTTATTTTTTTACTACTGTATGTTTATTCTCAAGGGAAAAACACAAAGTCTAAGTAAAATGGGAGCCAAGGATGTCTATTTATTTTTACTTTATTTTCTGAAAATATAATGGTAAGAGATTGGATTTTCTAAGGGATGGGAAATTAATATATTAATAGGACGTTTTCATGATGGCGTCATTTGACTCCCATAACCCAGATGCTTCGCAAATTTTCTTTCTTATTTAAAATTGTATTCCCTCATGAGAATGGTAAAACAATTGGTGCTTATTAACTGAACAAAAGAAAGTGTGCAAGGGAGTCTGGTAGTAGAGGTCAATGACGCCATCGTGCAAACGTCCTATTCTCATATTTGTTTTCAATCATTCCGAAGAGGATGAAACGTTTTGGTCATGTTGGTTCGTGGTACAGCAATTGAGTATATTATAGACTAGTCATCACTAGAGTGCATGCAGTAAAACCATGAAATAAAAACAAAGTTGATACTGACAAATATAGCTATTTATTGACTTATAGTAGCTATTACTCAACCAGAACATTCATTCCATGAAGACGAATACACAAGAGACCATTTGTTTCATTTGCTTAATGAACGTTCTGGTTTAGTGATAGCAAATATTATAGTCACAAAATAGTACTATTTGTCAGTCAACTTGTATTGTTTTTATTTCATGGTTTTACTGCATGCTCTCTATATTTATACATTGGAAATTATTTTATAATTTACAGACTGTATACTATAATTATAAAATTCAGGGGCGAATCCAGGGGAGGGGTGCAGGGGGTGCACACCCCTCCCTGGTAACACTTTGTGCTCCTACTTCGACAAATAACCAATTTTATTTTTTGCCTTTGATTCTAAGGGGTGCACCCCTCCCTGGGTTAACATTGTGTGCAGCACCCCTCCCTGAACAAAATCCTGGATCTGCCCCTGAAATTTGTACAACTTTTATAATTATAGTATACCAATATTATAAGTATTTGAAAATATGATAACTTAAAACCAAAGTACATGTATGAGGAATTTTATGATGGTTTTTTTATTTAAAACACTCTTAAATATTTTATTGATACATAATCATCGTATGACTGTTCATATTCTTTTAAAAACAAATTATGTACAAAATATACACCTTTAATAATTTATAACTAATAAAATACTTTTAATAGTGCACACGTACGATAAACTCAGAAAAATACTTCAAGTTAAAGCACTGAAATAACACTGCAGAATCCTAGTTAGTTAATACTCTTTTTTTGGTTGTTGTAGAGTGATTTTCCTCAGACTCTGAAACAGTTTCTAGAGTTAGTATATAACAGTCTGAAGAAAATCACTTTAACATAATAATAGTGCTTTCTATCTGACAACATTTAAAGAAACTGGATATTGCACTAACATGTACATGTCACATGACCCTGCCCCCTTAAATAGGTCCTTTGCAGTTAACGGTCACGTGTCTGTACTGCATGGTGAGCAAAAAAATTTATTTTATTTTAAATTGGTGATTCTTTCTAGCTACTTGTAAAGAACTGAATGAAACGATGTGTAAACAGTGTGTTACAAAATGAAGTTTTTTTAAAGATCTCGAAACAGGTTGTAGAAAGTTTGTTTGCTCACCAGTATATTACACCCATGGGAATCAAGGTGTTCATTCATTTGCTCTCAGTGAATTAATCAGCAGGTTATTACTGAGCTGCAAAGGGCCTATTAAGAGTTAATTTCATAAATAACGACTTTTATATCTACATATTTTCATTGGCCTTTATTTTAATGATAACACTATTTTTCTCATGCCACATATTATTAGTCCAAACCTCACCTTTTTACATTTGCCAGAGTGCTTTTTTTCATTTCTGATTTTCATTATGACTGAACTCTCTGCTTTTACAGTGTGAATCGAAAAAATATTTCTAGGTGCCCACGATTTTTGTAAGAGGGTTGGGTCATATCACCTCTAAGTGCAAATCTGCAGTCATCTTTAGAGTAATCCAGTACCACTCGAAAGCTGGATTTTCATTGCTCTCTAAGTACAGTACCGCTTTTGTAAGGTTAGGTTTAGTGCTATTGTTTGGATGACCAATCCATTGTTTTTTAATCCAATGTTGAACTCGTTCGGAGCAGTACAGGCTGGCTCTGTCTCTAGAAAAATCAGTAAACTGTCCATGAAACTTGTCTCATCTTGCCACCTCTTTCTATGACCTCATCCATCGCATACCTCAATCTCTCAGTAACCAGTGGACAACCATGGAATATTAATATGCATATCTTGGGGCACAGCATAAGTATAGCTTCTAATGAGTCGTCGGATATTTCTGTGCAATGTGCAACATGAAGTTCCTACAGGAAGGAGTAGTGTTAATTCTCTAAATGTTACTTGTTGAATAAAATAACAACTACAAAATTAAGGTTTCATTGGAGTTTTTAAACATGTGAACCTAATAGTTTGTAACTTTCATATGTTTGACTTGAAGCAGCAAAAAAAAAATAAATAAAAAAAAAATAAATAAAGAATTCAGCATGCAGCTTGCAGCTACTGAATTCGCATGTTTATAAAAATGGCAGTAATAATGCAACGATATACCTTTAGGGAAGCTGCACAACAACCATTTGCCAAGCTCATTACTCCATCATCAGTGATCTGTAAACACATATATATTCATCATTAACCATCACCATCATCACTAAGTACTATGGACCTTCATCATAATCATCACTACCATCAACATGGGTCATCCCCTAGCAAATAAAATGCAAACAAAAAGTTCAAAGTAGCATTTATTTATCGATTAGATAAGACATCAACATCAAAACCATCAGATCATAGCCCCTCAGTCGGTTAAACATACTGTAAATATCCTTCCAGTATTAATCGTTCCCAGGATTTTACAGTATACTGGTATATCATGTTATATTCATGCTGTCATAGTCTCCAAAACTTACCTTGGTTCTGCACACATTCAAACTCTGAAGATATCTGCAATTATTAGCTAATGCCTTCAAAGACTCATCCATGATATTACAAGCAGCTATATTGAGATGTTGTATGTAAGGGCAGTTGTGTGCTAATTCTTTGATGGCTATGTCAGTTATATTGACACAACGACGAAGATATACTGTTTGGAGCTTGGTGCAACATTTAACAACATTGATAATACCTGGGGGGAAAAGTAATGAAATTTAACTATTTGAAGATAAATAACTAGTAAGGTTATCCATGCATTTGCATCAAAGCGAGACAAATGGTGAGCTTGCATTAAGAAAGTCATGAATAATTGTCCAAGGTGTTAAACAAAAGTCTCTATCATTGCAAGCTCACCGTTCGTCTTGCTTGGAGGAAAAAGCAGGGCTACCTTTCAAGATGGCACAGGGAACTGTTAAATTGACTATTCACAGCTGAATTAGGGTCTATACTGTACCTTCAGACGAAATATTCTCCCTTCTATCTTTAACTGCATTCAGATCGAGTTTCTTGAGTCCTTTACACTGTGATAATGTAGCTAACCCAACATCTGTAGGCGAGGATTCACTCAAATCAAGCTCTCTTATGTGGGAAGTGACAACCTCAGGGGAAAAAAGAAAAGAAAGAAAGAAAACAAAGTTAAAACCATAATTAATTAAATATTAAGCTTATAAGAGAAATTTATTGTCCTTTATACTTTATAGTTTCAGAGTATTCACCAGAGATTGTCATAAATATATCATGATTATTTTGTATAGTATTTTCTTTTCGTTATAGTCTTTTGAACTTGAAGATGATCTTTAAAAAATATTTTAAAATCTCATTTACCTTTGGGAGTATTTCATCATTTAGAAGTCCTCTTTTAGAAAACAGCTTTACTAGCTTATCCTTGACTTCATTAGGTAATAAATGCAATGATTTCTGGTGTTCTTGGACGTGATCTGCGACTGAACGAATACAAGAACTCTGTAAACTGCTGACATAAACTACAGTCAGTGCTGCCATTTTGTTTTGGTAACCACAATAAAAAGCCTCACCAGGGGAGGGTAGGGGGAAAAGGAGACTAGTCACCGTAGCAGCCAGCCTGCGTTTCTCTTGGAAACTAGTTAGCTGGGTGATTATTTGGTAGCAAATACGCAGTAGAATGAATTATTTAAAAAGAAAGTTTGTTTATTAAGAAAGCCGGAAAATTTTGGACAAGTGATTGTTTTTGATCGATCGTACAACAGTCCTCTTACCCCTCCCTGGTTAGAATTTGCGAGCCAGGCTTCTCTCCCTGACGGGAACATTTTCCATTTCGCGGGCTATTTTGAGTGTAGTTTGTCTCGTTTGAGCATCAATGAAGGTTTTCTGATGGCGTCTTTGGGGAATTTCCAGAGTTATATGTAAACGGTAAGAGGAGAAGCTTAAATTATTAGACTAGGGGAAGTAGTTTGCGTTGGGATGATGAAAAATAAACCCTTTAGAGCGGGTGAGTTTTAAGAAATTACCGTAATATCAGGTCTTCTTGGTGCCGTATGATTTGCAGGGTATTGTTTAGCTCCAAATTTATTGTCTTTTGCTGTTGTTTCATTGTCTTCATCGGTGCTTTAGGTGCCTTGCAACACCGAAGAAAGAGCTTAAATATCGAAGTAACTCGCCGAAGTAAACCGAGTAGAGTTGAACGTTGCATTTGTATTCGGCAAGAAGCCACAGAGAAAATTGAGAGGACGAAAGCGAAATCTAAAGTAAAGATATTTAAACTAGAAAAAAGGTGAGTTGACATTGGTTAGATATAATATATTTAGGGTTCTGAAAACAAATGATTAAGCACAAAACTTCTAGTAAATGAATAATTTTTCAAAGAATCCGAATAATTAATATTCGAAATATGGGGTGCCTGTGGTATTAGTGACACAGGAATCCCAAAATCCAGGCCACAAGCAATACTTTTTGAATTGATTTTGAATTGTTCCTCTGCTTTATTGTATTTTCTGATTGAAATATTGAAATAATGTTGAAAATTACATTAAGTTTACATTAACAATTTATATGAAAGAAATGAATAAATAAAGATTTCCATGATTTAGCAAGTACAGTCTCTGCTGGCAGACTGTTCCATAAAGGTAATATCCTAGCAAAAAAAGAAAAAAAAGGAAAACTTATAGGCGTTTGAATGTGCATAAATATGTATAGATTTTTAAGGATGATTCATATTGCTCTAGTTTTGGATTCTGAAAATTGCACAGAGCTTGGAAGATATAGATAAGATAGATAACTCCGTATTCTTTTCCAACCTAATAACGGAAAATTTTGGTAGAAAAAAGGGGGGGATGGGCAAATTTTTATCAGAAAAA